AAAAACTAAACAAAAGACATATATTTAGCAATTTGGCAAGTTGGTGGTCGTGCTGTCGTAGGCACCCAAATTAACCTTGCTTAAAAATATGTAGTAGTGCGAGCAAGGATCGTATCTACATGGAATAATTTAATTAAATGACTGTAACTATGTGATTAATATGGGGGAGAATTGATTTATAATCCTAATTATCTAATTAACAAGAAAATTAAGAAGGTATTGGTAAAAGATTATTAAATAAAAGACTCAAAAGTAACAACAAGATGAAGATGAATATATAGGTAAAGTGCTCCGGTTGAATTGATTTCCACCCCGAATTATTCTACTGATCCTTGATGCAAATATTATCAATTCATAAATACGTAGATGCCGTTGAATGATGAATTCTGACTCCTAAATTGGCCATGCAAAATAAATCCTCCTACACAACCCTTATTACTAGGCAATTCCCAACATCGTGCAAAATTATCCTAGCAATAGCATTAAGAAGTAGAGCCCGACAACACAAGCAACAAATAACTAATCCGTTAAATGTTAACTTGTATAATTATTTTGCCTAAGAATGATAACGCCTAAATCCGGTCAATTACCACACTCAGTTGCTTCTTACGATAAATAAATCATCTAAATCCGACTTAATATCTACCAAGCAATAGATTAAGTGCATAAGACAATAGTTGATCAGGCTACGATCCTAACACAAAATCATAAATATGAAAACACAAAACATTTAATACGAAATATGAATTAATAGATAAAAACTAATTAGATCTCACAGTATCAAGTTCGGGGTTTCAATCGTATTCAACCGAAGCAAAAGAAAACTAGCCGCGCAGGGCCTCCATAAAGTCTAGCAAAAGTGTAGAAGAAAATATAAAGAAAGAGAAGTGAGAATTCTAAGGTTGCTGCTCCTCCAAATATTTCCTGTCTGCTCCTTGCGGCTGTTGTACGTGTTCTGTAGGTTTTTTTCAAAAGTTGATCCCCTCTTTTTAATTACGGTTGGACTTTTAATTCTCTTGGGCTTAGTGTTTATGGGCCCACGTCTAAATAATAATCTACCCACCGTTCTTCCATCCTGACATGGCCATGTTCCAACAAAACCAAGCGTGTCATGTTGGTTATATGTGTACCAAGTCAAGCTCATGTGATCTAACTGCACCAAAATATCAACAAAGGTAGTTTCTACTCGAAGACACATGATAAAGTCGAAAACACGTCACTTAAGCACAAATATCCAACACATAGTCCAAATTTTACCATAATAGAAACACATATTTTCGACTTATTAGTTGGCACAACTTCCTCCACAATCAATTGCAAAAATTATTTTATACTAATCAATATTTCATTGCCTTAAGACAAAAAGTTCCTAATTATTGTCTCTTGCATCGTATTGGTTATTTCAATATAGCTATTTCAAATATATTAAATAAGATTAGATTCATTTACAATGAGTCTTGATCTATATAGAAACACATAAATTTCAAATAAAGTAGTAATGATTTAATTAAAAAAATTAAAATTATCAGTTATATACTTCATTTTTTTAATAATATGTAAATATTAATATTAAAAATACCCTTTTGAGCCTTTGTCAAGAAAAAAATATATATATATAAGAAAAATGCCCTCGTGTGTCGCGTGTGATCACGCTTGGTGATATGTTGGTCACTATTTTAGGTGGCTTTAGACTAGAGTAGAGTATTTAGCTTCCTTTTCTGTGATTGAGCTTCGAGAAATGGTTAATTTGATTTGAGTGTGAACATAAAAGTAGACATGGCCATTTTTCCAGATCTGGGCTGCAGTTTTGAAGGCCATAAACGGGCCCAAATATATATGGGCCGGGTCGGTGAATTGTCGGTTCTGGGTTGTAGTTTTGAAGACCATAAATAGGCTAAAAAATATATATGGGCCGGTTCGGTGAAAGCTGGTTCTTGATCGGTCTAATCCATTAAAGAAAAATTAAAATAAATAAATAAAGATCTAACAACAGGTTCCAGTTCAAAAGTGTACTAGTGGTTAAAAAAAAAAAACAAAGATGTGGTCCAGATCCGATTCGGTTAAACCATGGGCTCAGTTAAAGACCCGTTGACCGCGGGTCAGTTCATGCCGAACCAGCGAACCGGTCCGTGGCTATGTCTGCACGAAAGGTTATATGGGGATTATTGAATATACTTATATTTTGATTTTATTTGAATTTATTTGTTTGGTTTGGCTAATTTTGAAAAATGTGGTACGAAGTATTTAGTGAGATTTTGAGTTTATATTAAAATAATATTTAAAATAAAATATTTAAAGTTGATTTGATGTAAAAATATGAAAGAGATGATGTGAAGTGATAATTAAGTAAAATTATATGAGTAGATGAATAGTAAATTAAAGTTTATGTGGAATTATTGATTGATATTATTTAATAAAATTGATAATATTGAAGATACTAGAATTGTATTAATATTGAGTTCAAAAAGTGATTGATTAAAA